ACATTATTACAAATAACTTCATTTCTGGACATTTATGGTTTGTTTTCTTTGTTTGTATGGATCACTTGGGTTGTTACCGACGTCTGGTGAAAATTTCATGTCATTAGCACCTCTAGTAATATATGTACTGAGAAAAATGTTGACGTGTTCAATACTTATTTTACTCGCTGTAGACATATAGTAGAATTAATTCTTCTTTTTAAGTTTTACAGAAAGGAGCTCGCTCTTAAAAATCTCATGGTTTTTCCTTATTTTTGCAGTCTCTTGTGTTTGATAGTATCTTTTTACTATTTACTGCTTTGTGTGCAGCGCTTTAGCTAACGACAGTTTTAATGTTCTATATACAGTAAATAAATCTGATTGATTTGAACACTCTGAGCCTGTCTCAGAAGGTTTGATCGAAACAGCTGAAACCCATTTCTCAACAAAACATGATCGTTGTTCAAAACTTTAACATGCAATATTATGTGCAATCCTTCAAGATAACCTTTAATTTCTTACTTCCTTAGATTGTCTCCTAATATTGTGTGTTTGTCCTCCTCAGTGATGTCCAACACATTTGTTTCTCTCACCATGTCATGACTCTGTGGACTGTGGTCCTGCAGACTTCTTCCCACCTCCGGAGCTAGTGGAAGAGCGTGGACTGACCCGGCCTGTAGTTGCCGGCATCATCGCCACTATCTGCTTCCTGGCAGCAGCGATCCTGTTCAGTACCATGGCTGCCTGCTTTGTCAACAAACAGCGCCGCAAGAAGCTCAAGAGGAAAAGAGGTGAGTGTAAAGTTTAGCAAAATCCTCAAAAAAAAACTGCTGAACATGGGACAATAATTCCTGATTTGTCTTTTATTTCTCCTTTTTTTTTCATTAGTTTTTCTGTTTAACCCTGTTAGTAAAACAACTAACAAAACTGCATTTTCTGTAAAAAAAAAAATGCAGATTGAATCCTGAGTGCTGAATAACTGACAGATTGAATCCTGAGTGCTGAATAACTGATGTAATTGGCAGATGAACCTGCTGAACAGGAGCTGAAAGCTAAAAATAAAAGTATGCAACCCTAGCTAAAGGGGAACAATGACAGCTAAAAGTAGAAAAGGACTGGCTACAAGTAGTGAGATTAGCTAAAAATTGCAAATGAGTAGCTGATTGTTGCTGTTGCAAATGTGAAGGCTTTTCAGGGAAAAAACACAGACAGCCGTCATCACTTCAGCAACAGTAGCTGTAGACATAAAAATTCCCATTCCTGTTGCTGAGGCTTCAACTTCAACTATGTTAAAATCCCATTCACGCATTGGACAATCCTTCTATAATGACCATAAATACCTCAACATCCATAACTCTGGACAACTCGCAACTTTTGCCGCAAATGCTGGTGCTCTAGTTTGTGAAACCCCCGTCTCCATCTACCATCACTCTAACCAAGAGGCCAGTGCCCCATGGAGAAGCATGTTCTACTTTTGCAAAACACAACTCTTTCTGCCCAAGCTGCTGTACTAGGAGTTGTCTTTGGTAGCATTGTAGTCAAGACCACTGTCCGGTATTTTTTACCTGAGACTTTGAAAAACAACAACCCAACCAGACATTTTAAACAAAGACAATCAGAGACCGGTAAAGTTTAAATGATACA